AGTAATTCAGAGATATGGAGTCCTGGTGTGGTGCTGTACGATAAAGCACTGGAACACAAGTGCGATTTGAACAGCAGTTCAAACTCAGCAGCTGCTCCTTGGAAACCCTATCCAGGGTAGCTATAAGTCGGAAGTGTCTCGACAGCACTTAACAACAACAACAACAACAATGCAGGATTGCTATGAATAAAGGCTGACCTTCTATTTCAGACTGTTCCTAATATGAGGAAAGAATAGATTGGATATGTTGTTGTTAGGTGCCATCAAGACGGTGCTGACTCATAGCGACCTTATGCACAGCAGAACGAAACACTGCCTGATCTTGGGCCAACCTCACTATTGTTGCCACACTTGAGCCCCTTGATGCTGTCACTTTGCCAATACATCTCAGTGAGGGTCGTCTTCTTTTGCTCTGACCCTCCACCTTACCAAACATGATATCCTTCTCCAGTGACAGGTCCCTCCTGACAATATGTCCAAAGAATGAGAGATGAAGTTTGGCCATCTTGGCCTCCAAGGAGCACTCTGGCTGCACTTCTTCCAACACAGATCATTTAGTTCCATGGGCAGCCCATAGTACTTTCAATATTCTCCTCCAACACAAAAGCATCAATTCTTCTGCGGTCTTCCTTATCTACTGTCCAGCTTTCACATGCATATGAGGTTATTGAAAATACCCTGGCTTCACTCAGGCACACCTTAGTCCTCAAGCTGATATCTTTACTTTTCAACACTTTAAAAAGGTCTTGTGCAGCAGATTTTCCTAATGCAATATGTCATTTGATTTCTTGACTGCTGCTTCCATGAGCGTTGATGGTTGATCTAAGAAGAATGAAGTCCTTGACAACTTCAATCTTTTCTCCATTGATAAGAATGTTGTTTATTTGTCCAGTGGTGAGTATTTTTGTTTTCTTTACATTGAGATGCAATCCATACTGAAGACTGTGTTCTTTGATCTTCATCAGTAAATGTTTTAAGTTCTCTTCACTTTCAGCAAGCAAGGTTGTATCATCTGCATACCCAGGTTGTTAATGAATCTTCCTCCAAACCTGATGCCATGTTTTTCTTCATATAACCCAGCCTCTCGGATTTTTTCCTCAGCATACAGGTGAATAAGTATGGTGAAGGAATACAACCCTGTCACACACCTTTCTTAATTTAAAACCACCATCCAGTGTTTCCACGTTCTGTTTGAACAACTGCCTCTTGGTCCATACACAGATTCCTCATGAGCAGAATTAAGTGTTCAGGAATACTCATACTTCTCAATGTTGTGCATAGCTTGTCATGATCCACATAATCAAAAGCCTTTGCATAGTCAATAAAGCACAGATAAACATCTTTCTGATATTCTCTGCTTTCAGCCAAGATTCATCGGACATCAGCAATGATATCCCTTGGTCCATGGACTCTTCTGAATCTGACTTGAACCTCTGGAAGTTCTCTGTCAATAATTCCCATCATATAAGGTGCAGTTCAAAATTTTGCAGGTATAGAAATTAGTTGTGATTGGGCTTTAGGGAACAGATTCTTAGCATCTAAATTCATTGTAAGTGGCTATTTAATCCACAATTTCCACAACTAATTTTGTGATAGATACAAAACTGAAAAATAGATGAGGATGAAGTGGCAAATTGAATGGGGGTATGCAAACAAAACAAAGGGTGTGTGATTATAGATGCCAAGAACAGAATATATATAATCTGTCAAGTGGCCCAAAGTCTACAAATGAGGCTCATTGACACATTTACTATAAAATAATGAGGAAACCCAGAAATTATTATGTCATTCTCTTTATGATGAGTTCCAAGCATTTTCATTGTCATTAGAATATAATAAATTAAATATTGTATCTTATTTGTGATGTATTCATAGTTATCTTGATAACATCTATGAAAGTGTCCTAAATGCATCATTAAATTATTTCTACTTAAACTCCTGATTTTGTAATTACCAGATTTAGATACTTAGAGTTTCCAACCTTGTCCCATATTATATAATAACCTCTTAATGCATAAAGCTTTTCTGTTAATAACATGACTATATAGGAAAAAATATTATCATAAATTATAAATATTGTATATACCCAAATTGCCAAAAAAAGATGTTTACTATTTATTTCTAGTTTAACAAAGAATTCTTGAAGTCAGACAGAATATACACTTTATTCAAGGAGAAGTTTCCTATGATCTTACTCCAAAGAGATACCATTAATTTAGATAAAATCATATCAAACATTTTTATCTTACTTTTCCCACCTGTTAGAGATTAGATATATGAAATACATTATATATGGTATGCCCAGCTATATATGGACTGACCATAGCTTTTCAGTGGAATAGGAAAACCAGTATGACAGAAGTGAGGAAAGTAACAACTCAATAACACAGTAAGTGACTAGTAAGTTATGAAAGTTAATAATTTAAATAAATACAAAACAATTGTAGGCTACTTAGTATAAGATTAAATAAATATAGATCACCATATCTGCCTCCAATGAAACATAATATTTATCTGAAAAATAAATTCTGATCTGGAGTTTCCCCCCAAAAATACCCTAAGCCCAGTAGGTATTTCTTTAGGAATCCAGAGTTCAAACAATTTTCAATTGCATAAAAACTGGCTAAATATTTTTTTCTTCACGTTTGTTATTGTTGTTGCTGTGATGTGCCGTGGAGTCAGTTCCGACTCATAGCGACCCTGTACAGCATTTCCAAGGCTGAAAGCCTCATCTTTCTCCAGCGGAACACCTGGTAGTTTCGATTTGCTGACCTTGTAGTTCACAGCCCGATTCATAACCACTACGTTACCAGAGCTCCTTTTTCTTCACATTAGTAGTGAAAAAATAGAGACCAAGATTATGTAAGTAGACAGTGGTTTAAATAATTGCTGATGGAGTTTATAAGCAGACATACTAGATAGACTCCATGAACCTTACATAAGATTAAAGAACTGAACAGAGATTTAAATCACTGTGAATAAGAGTTTGAGTCTGGCCAAATTAATTGCTTGTTGCAACAAGAAAACAAAAAAAGGTTTACTACTTTTCTGATGACTATAGCAGAATTCAAAGAAATTGCAACGTTATAATCAGAATGTCAGGGATACAATCCAAAATTAACAGATAACAGGAACAAACAAACAAACAAACATGATCCATTATCAAGAGAAAAAAAATTAAGGAAGAATAACCCCCAAATATCCCATAAGTTGGAATCAGTTAATAAGAAATTAAAATAACTATAAAAATGATGTCCAATGATATAAAGGAAAAAAACTGCTTAAAATAATAGAAAAGAGTATAAAAATTGAAACAACACCATGCATCGTAGTCAAACTTCTGAAAACAAAAGGTAGAGAGAACAAATTGATAGTAGTAAGGTAAAAATGACCTGTTAAATAAATAATAATTCAAATTACCACTGTCTTCTAAACAGAAATAGTAGAGGCAGGGCAATAGTTACAGCTCCTATACACTGATTAAAGGAAAGAAAACAAAAACAAAGCCTTGAAAACCAGAATTCTATACTCAGCAAATAAATGAATAAACATATAAATGAAACCTTCATGAAGAAAGCAAAATAAAGACATATTGAGATAAACATACACTATAAGAAATGCTAAAGAAAGTTCTTCAGACTAAAAGGAATACATAAAAATGAATTTAGACCTTGAGAAAATAATGAAGAGCATTAGGAAATTAGAATATATATGCAGCAATAACATAGTGGTTATGAAACGGGCTGCGAACCGCAAGGTCAGCAGTTCGAAACTATCAGCTGGTCCGTGGGAGAAAGACGAGGCTTTCTACTCCCATAAAGATTTACAGCCTTGAAAACCCTGTACAGGGTCGCTATGGGTCGGAACCGACTCGACGGCACTTAACAACAACAACAATAACAGATATATTTTCCTTCAAATTCCTTAAAATATATATTAAAAGGCTCCAAAAAGTATATGGAAAAATTCCACTATCTTTTAATCCCTTTCTTCCACACACTTTTTGAAGCCCCCTCATATGCATCCACAAAGCAAAATTCATGACATTGTCTTGTGGAATTAATTGTATATGCAGATGAATATACAGATGAATACATATGAAAACTATAGATTAATGTAAGGGAAGGTCAGTGGCTCTAAAATGTTTTGAAGTTTCTATTTAAATTTAAGTAGACCATGAAACTTTAAGGGTGCATAAAGTAATCTCTAGATGCCTAGTGAAGCACTACTGGGTCAGCAGTGGACTGTGATTCACAAGATTGGTAGTTCAAACTCAATAGCTGCTCCTCGAAAACCCTATACTGGGTCACTATGTCTTGGAACTGACTTGATGGCACTGAACAAGAGCAACAAAGTAATCTCTATAGGAATACCTTTAAGATAATGCAAATCTGTGTAGCAAAAAATATATAAAATAAAAAAATTTTTCAACTCACACAATCTAAAGAAAGATCAAAGAATAGAATTGGAAAAAAATGAGACGATTAATAATCAGTCAAACCATATCAGCAATTACATTAAATGTTAATGGACTATAGCCACTGACATCAAACTGATTCAGACTCACAGTGTCACTATGTAGAACAGAGTAGAACTCCTCTCTCTGAGATTGTAAATCTTTATGGGAGCAGACAGCCTCTTCTTTCTCCAATGCAGTGAATGGTTGTTTGAGCCACTGACCTTGAGGTTAGCAGCCCAACACCTAACCTAGAGTGCCACCAGGATCCCTTGTTAATGGACTAAACACTTCAATTAAAAAACAACTCTTGAGAATGGATACAGAAGTAAGACCCAAGAATATTATCCACAGGAGTAGCACTTTAAATAGAAAGACATATATAGATTCAAAGTAGATGGATGGGAAAAAATATTACTAATAAAGATGCCAATATTTACATAGATATTTAAGCTAAATATAAGAAACATGCAGTGGATATAATAATACATGTCAAGTAAACCCAAGACAAAGAGCTTTGCTATTTTTAAAAGGACATTTCAACAGCTAGCAGAGCCGCGGTCCGGAGAGCAGTTCGTGCCCCAAGCTCTCCGCCTTCCCCCCGCCCGCCAGCTCGAGGCAGCTCGAGCTCAGTCCATGGTCCCAGCAGCAGTACCAAGAGCAGCCCCAGTAGCAGCGCCATGGCTGGGTGGAACGCCTCATGGCGGACGGGACCTGTCAGGACGCGGCCATCGTGGGCTATAAGGACTCGCCCTCTGTCTGGGCCGCTGTCCCTGGGAAAACGTTCGTTAATATCAAGCCAGCTGAGGTTGGAGTTCTGGTTGGCAAAGATCGATCAAGTTTTTTCGTGAATGGGCTGACACTTGGGGGTCAGAAATGTTCTGCCCCTTCCCCCTACTACTCCCCACTGCTTTTGCACCCCTCTCCTTCCCATACACACACACACACCATTTTTATTTTTGGGCCATTACCCCAACACCCCTTATTGCTACCAAAACCATATGGAGTGGGGTACAGGGCTGGATGGACAGACACCTCCCCCTACCCATACCCCCTCTGTGTGTGGTTGGAAAACTTCTTTTTTTTTTTCTGAATAAAAAAGATTCCATTAAAAAAAAAAGGGGACATTTCAAAATAGTAAGGCTTAACTCATCAGAAAGACATGTTTGGATGCTATTAAGTTGACTGTAAAGATTTAGGTAATCTGAAAAAACACTAGGAACCACCGTGACTTAGTTGAAATTTATAGACTATCACATTCAATAGCTGCAATATATACTTTATTTTCATACATACACATAAGAGAGAAAATGCTGGGCAATAAAACAAATCTCAATACATTTAAATTGCTTAAAGTCATAGTGTGCTCTTTGATTAAAATGGAGTTGCATTAGAATTGACAAAATGTCTAGAAAAATCATTTGCTACTTAAAGTTATGAGTTTTAATTTGTATTATAATAATTGTTATGTTGTTAAATTCCATCACATTCATTTTGAATCATAGTGACCTTGTATAGAGTTTCTAAGGAGGGGCTTGTGGGTTTGAATTGCCAAACTTGTGGTTAGCAGTCCTGTGCTTATCATACAGTGCCATATTGGAACTCATATTAGAATAGTGGAAAATATCAATATATTTATGCATTTATTACTTTTATGTTATAAAATATATTTATATAGAAAAGAACTTCTACTCTGTTCTAATGGGTAGGAAATGACTCACTGGCAGTGAGTTTGAGGAAGTGAAATGATTTGTGCTTCAAAGCATGCAGCAACTATCTTTAATTCACAGGAAACTGAACTAGCTTGAAGAATGAATAATCATTACCTAATCAATGGAGAAAGTTTTAGGTATCTGGAGAGTACGAAAGAGAAAAAATTGGATTTGAAGGATCCGAGAAAATGTGTGTCTATCATACAGATCAGTAGGAAGAAAAGAAAACAGAAGTGTAGCCTCCAAGTAGAACACGCAAGGTAGGCTGAGCCTGGTAGAACAAATAAGGACCCCCTCCCCCAAGTTCAAAGCTTAGCCATTTAAAGGATTTTAGGCAAATAAATTAAAGTTGAAATGACAACTGAATTTGGTAACTGAAGAATGAAAGGCATAAAAAAAAAAACCGTTACACTTCCAGGTTTCTAGAAACCAAATGATGTTTTTAATGTCATCCCACAACTCTTCTGGTCTTTAGTGTCTAATGCATCAAATTTGTTCTTCAGATGATTTATAAATTCAGGTGGGATATGTTCTAAGTCATATTTTGGCTCTCGTGGACTTGTTTTCATTTTCTTTATCTTCAACCTGAACTTGCATATGATCAATTGATAGTCTGTTCCACAGTCTGCCCCTGATCTTGCTTTGGCTGATGACATGGAGCTTTACTACTGTTTCTTTCCACAGATGTAGTCAATTTGATTTCTGTTTATTCCATCTGGTGAGGTCAATGTGTATAGTAGTCTTTTATGCTATTTAAAAAAGGTATGTATAATGAAGAAGTCATTGGTCTTGCAAAATTCTCTCATGTGATCTCCAGCATCATTTCTATTATCAAGGACATACTGTCCAACTACTGATCCTTCTTGTTTGTTTCCAATCTTTGCATTCCATTTGGCAGTAATTATCATTATATCTTGATTCCATGTTTGATCAATTTCAGACTGAAGAAGTTGGTAAGATTTTTCAATTTCATCATCACTGGCATTAGTGGTCTGTGCATACATTTGAATAATAGTGTATTAACTGGTCATCCTTGTAGGCACATGGATATTATCCTATCACAAACAGTGTTGTACTTCAAGACAAATTATGATTTTTTTTTTTTTTGGATGATGAATGCGATACCATTCCTCTTGAATTTGTCATTCCTGGCATAGTAAACCATGTGACTGTCAGAATCAAAATGGCCAATACCAGTTCATTTCAGCTCACTGATGCCTAGGATATTGATGTGTATGCATTCAATTTCATTTTGGTTAATTTTCAATTTTCCTAGAGTTATACTTCCTACACTACATGTTTCTATTAGTAATTGTATTTTTACAGCTTTCCTCTTCATTTCGAGTCACGTTCCATCAGCAAATGAAAATCCTGAAGACTTTACTGCATTCATGTGATCACAGCTAACTCTACTTTGAGGAGGCAGCTCTTCCCTAGTCATAATTTGAGTGCCTTCTAACATGAGGGGTTCATCTTCCAACACATCAGACAATATTCTGGTGCTTTTCATCATGTTTCAGTATTCAGTATTCTGGTGCTGACAGTGTTCCACTGATAGTCGTTAAAGATTTCCAATGACTAAATATTTGTAAATAGTTCATCTTTCCTTATTCCTAGTCGTTTTCATCACAAAGCTCAGCTGAAATCTGTTTATTGTGGGTGACCCTTCTTGTATTTAAAATATATGTGGCATAGCTTCCAGAATCACAGCAACATACAAGTCACCACAGTACAACAAACTGACAGAAAAATGGCAAATTGTATGGATAATGACAAGCTATGGAAAACATTGCAGAGAATGAGTATTCTGGAAGACTTAATTGTGCTTCTTAGAAACCAAAAAGGAAGAAAACGCTCAACATTTCTCAAGCGGGGGGAACTGAAGAAAAAATTCAAGCCTTGACTTTGGTTATTGAAGGATTCTTTGGGCAAATTACTGAATGATGCAGAAAGCAACAAAAGAAGATGGAAGGAATACACAGAGGCACTGTACCAAAATGAAATGGTTAATGCTCAACCATTTCAAGAGGTAGCATGTGATCAAGAGCCAATGATACTGAAGGAAGAAGTCCAAGGTGCATTGAAGGAATTGGCAAAGAACAAGGCAACAGGAATTGAAGAAATACAAATTGAAATCTTTCAAGAAAGTGAGGCAGCACAGAAGGCACTCACTCATTTCTGCCAAAAAATTTGGAAGACAGATATCTGGTCGACTGATTGGAATAGATTCATATTTGGGCCCATTCCAAAGAGAGGTGACCCAATGGAATGTGGAAATCATCCAACAATCTCTTTGATATCCCATGTGAGTAAAGTTTTACTAAATGCAATACCCAGAAATGACTGCAAACATACACTGACAAAGAACTTCCAGAAGTTCAAGCTGGATGCAGAAGAGGCCGTGGAATGAGGGATATCATTGCTGATGTCCAATGGATCTTGCCTGAAAGCAGAGAATATCAGAAAGATGTCTACCTGTGCTTTATTGATTATGCAAAGGCTTTTGATTAGTGGATCATGACAAACTATTGACAACATTGCAAAGTATAAGTACTCTGGAACACTTAATTGTGCTCATGAGGAATCTGTACCTGCACTGAGAGGCAGTTGTTTGAACAGAATATGGGAACATTGAATGGTTTAAAATTAAGAAATGTGTACGACAGGGTTGTATTCTTTCACCATACTTATTCAACCTGTATGCTGAGTAAATAATCTGAGAAGCTGGGTTATAAGAAGAAAAACGTGGCATCAGGATTGGAGGAAGACTCATTAACAACCTGCGATATGCAGATGATACAACCTTGTTAGCTGAAAAAGTGAAGAGGACTTAAACGTTTACCGATGAAGATCAAAGACCAAAACTTGTGGTGTGGATTGCATCTCAATGTAAAGAAAACAAAAATCCTCACCACTGGACCAATAAACAACATTTTTATCAAGGGAGATATGATTGAAGTTGTCAAGGACTTCATTCTTCTTGGATCAACTATCAACACTCATGGAAGCAGCAGTCAAGAAATCAAAGGATGTATTGCATTAGGCAAATCTGCTGCACAAGACCTTTTTAAAGTGTTGAAGAGCAAAGATGTCAGCTTGAGGACTAAGGTGAGCCTGACCCAAGTCATGATATTTTCAATAACCTCATATACATGTGAAAGCTGACAGTAATAAAGAAGATCGTACAAGAATTGATGCATTTGAATTATGGTTATTGAGGAGAATATTGAAAGTGCCATGTACTGCCAAAAGAACAAACAAGTCCGTGTTGGAAGAAGTACAGTCAGAGTGCTCCTTAGAGGCCAGGATGGCCAAACTTCATCTCTCATACTTCAGACATATTATCAGGAGGGACAAGTTGCTGGCGAAGGATATCATGTTTGGTAGTGTGGAGGGTCAGAGAAAAAGAGGAAGACCCCCAATGAGATGGACTGGCCAGGTGGCAGCAACGATGGACTCAAGCATGGCAACAGTAGTGAGGTTGGCTCAAGATTGGGCAGTAGTGCTTCGTTCTGCTGTGCATAGGGTATCTATGAGTCGGTACTGACTCAATGGCACCTAACAACAACAACAACAACTGCCAAGAGGCAGTTGTTTGAACAGAACAAGGAAACACTGAACGGTTTAAAAATAGGAAAGGTGCGCACCAAGGTTGAGCAAATAAACCAAGAAGTGGATTATATGAGGAAAAATGTGACATCGGGATTGGAGGAAGACTCATTAACAACCTGCTATAAGCAAATGATACAACCTTGCTTGATGTAAGTGAAGAGGACTTAAAATATTTACTGATGAAAATCAAAGACCACAGCATTTGGTCTTTGGTTGCGTCTTAATATAAAGAAAACCAAAATCCTCACCACTGGACCAACAAACAACAGTCATATAAATGGAGAAAACATTAAAATAGTCAAAAGCTTCATTTTGCTCAACCAACTACCAGTATAAGACCTTCAAAAGATGTAGCTCT